TTCCTTCTGTGATGCGTATCTCCAATGTCTTCCATGTATCCCTGTTGAAGTCTCTGGTCTGCAATCACTTTACTGCCTCACTGCCTCGGCCCCATCCGATCCGGGTCTACAGTCATGAGGAGTATGAGGTGAGCCGCATCCTGGACTCTCGGTTGGTCCGCGGTCGGGTGCAGTTCCTGGTCCATTGGTGTGGTTATGGTCCCGAGGAGCATTCCTGGGTTCCTTCCGTGGATGTTCATGCTCCTGCCCTCCTCTACGCTTTTCACGCCCGCTTTCCCCAGAAGCCTTATGTTGAGCCGAGGAGGGGGAGGGGCCATTGAGGAGCAGGTACTGTCAAGGTCCTACCTTTCCTCACGGCTTGTGCTGCTCCATGTGCTGGCATCCATCTTAGGTGTCTGCAATGCATTGTGGGATCCTTTATGCTTTCAGCCCTCTGTGGCTCCTCCCAGAAGGTGGCGGCTTATCACAGTTAAGTCTGCTGTTTGTAGCTGTCCATTCCATTTGTGTCCTGCCTGTTGCACAGCAGCCAGCTCCTGTTCAGTTAACTCATTGCTCTACTGGATACCGACTCGGCTTTGGCAAAAACTCCTCCTGGCTTCTGACCCCGGCTCTGGCGACCATTCGTCCTGGCTTCTGACCCCAGCTTTGGCTACGATTCCCGCTGGTTCTCGACTTGATTATCCTGGAAGACGACCTCGGCAGGAGAACTTCTGTCCTACCAATTCATCCGCTGTTGCTGTCGGATTTGCAGACTCTGGTCTTGTTTCTGTGTAAATAAACCTACCTTTCATTGCACCTCCTTGTGTGTCTGGCTCCTCGCTCCCTGACACCACCACCCTTCATATGATGCAACAAAGGTTTCGAAAGTTCCATAATTGAACAAAAAGCACAGTAAGCCTATCATAGGCTAATAAGGATGTGAGCGCACAACTTAATCACACTAAGGAATCACCGGAAATTTATATTTTATTTGAATCACATCACTGGAAGTTGTCACCTCATTTCAACAGAGACTTCTTTGCATTATTCAATATTTATTTTTATAGTTTTACTATATATTTATTTGATCACATAGTTTTTTTTGTTTTTTTTTTGATTACCTTGTTTTTGGATTTGATCATTAAGATGTTTTTTTGGGATTATTATTTAGATTATGTTTTAGGGATTTATTGAGCTGATTTATATATATTTTTTATATTTTCACTCAGATTGGGAGCGCGACATATATTAATCATTTTTTTGGTATCTCCTAATCTATCCACCTTTTAGACGATCCCTGAAAGCCTTTCTTTTTTAAAAAAGCCTATCCTGCTTCTAACTAGTAAACTGCATTTTATTTCCTCCATCAGCTCATCCCCCCACAGCTATTACCTTTTGTGTCACTCAACCCTTCCTCCTAGATTGTAAGCTCTAAGGAGCAGGGCCCTCTGTTTCCTCTTGTACCAAATTTTATTGTAACTGTAATGTTTACCTTCATTTTGTAAAGTGCTGTGTAAACTGTTGGCTCTATATAAATCCTGTATAATAATAATAATAATAATAATGTTGTTTGACATAAACTGAAACTACCGCAATTTTATTGTATAGGGTGTCTGCATCTAGAAAATATATAATGTTTGGAGTTTTATGTATCTTCTGGCCTATAATTATTTTGTAATGTGTACAAAAAACACAAAAAACAACTCTGGCGGGTGAAAGAAAAATGTGTGGCTTTGTTCATGTGAAAGATCAGCTTCAGGTTGATTTATGTTGTTACTTTTATCTATAGGTGAATGTCTGGTGGAGCAGATTTTGCTGGATGAACATGGACACTCATTGACTCCAGAGTTGAAAGGTAAATAAAATATAAAGATTATATATAAGTTTAACTGATACTCACTTTTCAACTTTATTTTTTTAAGGTTGTGAGAGCAGACACATAACTTGTGTAGCTTTGTGGCTATGTGCCAACATTTTTGATGCTGTGCTTAGATAGAATGCAGTCTGTTTACTCTGTGTTGTGAATATGAGAAACCTGCCATTGAAAGAATGCGTAGCTTTCTATTGAAAAAGCTAAGTGCTGTCTGTCATTATCAGGCCTAGGAATCAATATGTTTTGAGTCACCGACTCAAGGAATTCGAATGTCATCATGTACTAATACCTTTTATTATTAAAGTATTACTGTACCTGACAAGGAATTTAACTTTTTCAAAAGAGAATAGCAATGCAGCTCATATATTTCTTCTTTAGGTGTTTTTTTTAAGTACTATAATTGTTATTGGAATATAATGGAAGCAGAGCATAGTGAGTAAGAAGCAAATACAACTACAATAGAAAAATGTATGTTTCAAACATATGACAGACTAACCAACCCAACCAAATTGGTGTGTTTTTTTTTTTTTTTTAAATATATGCCTAACTTTACTTCCTTCTAATGTTACCTTAATTTGTTCTTCTAAAATTACTTTTTTTGGGGTTTCAGTATATTGGAGCATGTGTGTATGGAGCAGGGGCGGACTGACCATTCGAGCACTCGGGCACTGCCCGAGGGCCCGGGGTCAGTAGAGGGCCCCATGAAATACCCCCTGGTACCTTTTTTATCAGCTTTTTTGAATTTGGGCAAGGACACAGGGGCCCCATGATCCCCTATTGCCCGGGGCCCCATGAGTTGTCAGTCCGTCCCTGGTATGGAGGAAAGGGTTTCTGTGGCTGTAGCAGAGTGGAGTCTGTAGCTAAAAGTATCAATTGTTTACCAACATTTTTATTAATGTATAAAAACATATACGTTGAATTGAGATCTTACAAGATGTCAGAAATACATAGTGCAGGTAGGCACAATCCAATTCTTTGTACAGAAATTAAAAAAAATGAAATAAAAAGTATAGGGACAATATATAATACAGTTATAACAACAATAGGCTACCAAAATATTTATTACTATACGGCCTTGTATATCTCTTTAGAAAAGTTACTGGAGCAAAAGTAAGCAATCTGGAATGTATTCTAGAACTGCCTAGGAATACCAAATTATTTATAAAGTAATACCTATTAGGTTATAGCATGAGTAGGTTATAGGATGACCAAGAAGATTCTTATTTACGGTTAAAGATATGCATATTGTCCATAACTGCATGATGGACCCTTTCCATGCGTTTTATCGCCTTCATACAATGACATATCTGAGACCAGGATACAGAGAGAGAAAGCACCAGTTAAGGGCAGTAGCCCAATGAATGGCACTAAATTAAATGTGCCAATTTTTGGCAAGGGGGTGGTACCTCTGGCAGCTCAGCAAACAATAAACACATTTTGTATGTTAAAGTTATTGGAGTACCAGTGATTGGGGACATCTTGACTGATGCCTGTTACCAAAGTACCCAAAGAGATCTGCAGCTCCAGAAGGCATGGAAATGTGTACCTCTATCCTAGCAACCATCTAGTATGAAGTTGATAACAGTCTCTGTAATTGCTATAGAGCGTGTGTCTTTATGCATATTTGAGATCATATCCAGCCAGTCCTCTGAGGAAATTTCCTGGCCTGTCTCCGCTTCCCAGCTCAGCACTGCGGAGGACTTGGCAGGAGTGTCCTCTCATTGAGATACTTATAAATAACTGAAATAATTTTTTTGTCTCTAGAGGTATCACCACATAATCTTTTAAAAACTCCTCTTGCATCTCCCCCCTATGAAGAGCGATAGGCAGAATAAAAATGTCTAATCTGCAAATATTTATAAAATTCAGAATGAGGGAGAGCATAGCGTTGTTGTAAAAAAGAAGAGGAGTTAAAGGGCAACTCCTGGGAAGAGTCTAAAATCACCAAGCCTTGGTCCTTCCATTCAGCAAACTCCGACCTGGAAGTTAATGCAGGTGATAATGTAGGCTCACCTAATTAGGAGGTTAACCGGGGGGAAGGGGGAGTAACCTATATTGCACTTTGTAGAGTGACTATAGGTATAGGGATTGGCACACTACCCCATTCAGTGAGGCAATATCCTTCAGGCGTATAGAGTATAGGAGACCTGGAAGGTAAAAAGGTTCAACTGAAATATGTTCGAGCCCAAGCCATGATATATGGGGGGGAGGGGGGGGTGGCATACTATTATGCCAACTAAATCAACCTAGCAGCTAAATAATATTTCAAACAGTTAGGCACACCTAAACCAGCTTGTGATTGGGATCTATACATTAGCAGACATCCCAAACAATGTTTTTTGTTATGCCAGAAAATTCTATTCACTTTAGGCTAAAAATATCAATTGGAGGTCCAACTTGGCTGAACACCCATTTGGTTTGGCCACACCCATTTGGTTTGGTCATTCATCAAAACTCTGAACAAGCAAGACCCATGTTTAGACTCAACCAGGAGCTCATCCCTAACTGACAGCTGCTCGGACCATTTGGCAGCTGAGACAGGGACTTCCTGTAAATGTAATAAATGTAAGTGTCCTTTTGCTGGACAAGTTAGCTTGCTACTGTTAATAGACAAATAGTGGAGTTAGTGGCAAGATCAATAGGTAATAAAAGTATATTATGTATTAATGATAATGACAGTGATGTCATTTTTATTTTGCCTATAGTTACACTTTAATTTTATATCAACTACTCCATTTCCAATTTCTTCTTTAGTCTGAGTCATAAAATATTTTCTAATATATTCCCAGAAATTCAGGAAAAGCATAAACAACATCTGATGGAGAAGACTCAGACTCTAGCAGAGCATAGACCCCCAGGAACTACTATGGAACCACAAAGATTCTTCATCAATGAGCGTTTTGTGAACCTGATTGTAGTCTCCACTGATCAGTTCAGGCTGCGTCCACAGAATGAGCTAATACAGACTGGAGTAAAACTTGAGAAACTCTTGAAGGAAAAACAAACTGGACTGGAACATATTTCCTACAACAAGCTGTTCCGCTGGAACCACAAGTCACAATGTGTACCACATGCAGTAATGGTGAGCGGTGTTCCAGGAATAGGGAAGACCACACTAATGCAGAAGTTTGTCTTTGACTGGGTGACTGGAAAACTCTACCAGAGATTTGCTTTTGTCTTCCTTTTCAGATTCCGGGACCTTAATAAACTGGGAGAGGTCAGTTTGGAGGAGATGATTCTTCATAAATACCCATATCTGGGGAATCAGATTGGAGATATTTTACAACATCCAGAGAATCTTCTTTTTCTGTTTGATGGCTTAGATGAAAGTGTTCACCAAATAGATTTCAGATCAAGCACACTGTGCACCAATCCAAAATGGAGGAAAGATATTAGCACTATTGTGTCTAATCTGGTAAAACAGAATCTTCTTAAGGGTTGCTCCATGCTGATAACCAGCCGCCCAGCCAGACTGGTATCAGTTGATACTGGTGTTTTTCAGAGAATAGCTGAAATAATGGGATTTCTCCCCGGAAACAGACTGATCTATTTTGAAAATTTCTTTGGAAATAAGGAATTGGTAGAGAAGGCTTTTCATCATGTGCAAGAAAATGACACACTGTACACTTTCTGTTACATCCCATCATACTGCTGGATCGTCTGTACAGTGCTGTCAATGTGCTTTAGTGCCCAACCAACAAACTCTGATCAGCTGATGACATCATTGCCCAAAACAGTGACACAACTCTTTGTGACCTTTGTCTCCAACATTCTGGCCAACCACAACCAGAATAAAGATGGTGGTCACACTGTCCAGGAACTGCTGACATCTATTGGATGGATGGCAGAATATGGAGTCATGAATCACATAATTGTATTTGATAAGCGTTATCTGGACTCATTCAGTGTGAGAACTAATAAACATCTCTTTTCATGTTTCATGATGGAATCTGGTCAGCCTCCTGATGTGGATTTCACCTTCTTACATCTCACTCTTCAGGAGTTTTTCGCTGCATTGGTTTATTTTATTAACTATAATCCTGACAGATTACAGGAAGCACTTGATAAGGCTGAATCTTACAAAGATGGGCGTGCTGAAATTTTTCTCCGTTTTCTCTGCGGTCTCTCAGACTCTTCTACTAGATCCATGTTAAAGTCTCATGTGGGAGAATTGTCTACTCAGGCTGCCAAAGATGTTGTCACCTGGATCCAGAAGAATACTACAAAAGAACAAAGTCTTGACAAATCTATAGTAGACAAGAGACTGCTTCTTAATGTGTTCTACTTTCTTTTTGAGAGCAGGAATACATTCCTTGTGTCACAGTGTATTGGGTCAAACAAAATTGACTTTTCTGGTGTTCCCCTCAGTCCTCTGGACTGCTCTGTGCTGTCTTTTATCATTCAGTGCTGCAGTGAGACAGAAGACGTAAACCTAAGTAAATGTAATATTCAGAGTGAAGGATTGAAAAAACTTATACCAGGTCTACGCACTAGCAAGACTTTAAGGTAATGTGAAATATGGTTCATCTTTTGTGCAGTCATCATTTATAATTATGTGAACACTTCAGATAAGACTATTTTTGTAATCAAAACACATTTTGGTGTTAAACATGTATCCTAAAATTAATAAATAAACAATGGATGTGTAGAGGCAGCAGAAAACAATATAATAATTGTTGATCTGAAATGCAAACAGCATTGATGGCCTTACCCAAGTGTGGCTTCAGTTTCTCTGCTGTGACATGTTCAGGATGCACAAAGAAACCAACTCGGACTATGTATAAAGGAACCAATGTTTTTTTTCCAGTGTGACCTTGAGGGTTTCACTGTAATGCTGGCCATACACAGTTAGAAAATTGTTCAAAAAAACAGTCAGATTTATAAAGATCTGTTGAAAGTGCATGCAATAACACCATCATTGTATCAATATTTTTCCCCTAATTATTCACATATTAGCAGTCGATAACAACATAAATGTTTTTTGTCGATTGAATACACTTACGGGCTTACATTTTAACACCCACATGTGCTATAGATTTTTTCGAACTACTAATATTTAGAAAATTGATCATTTAGGCTTAAAAAATTCAACATGACAGTTCATTTTGTTTTTACATAAAACATTGCATTTCAATTATCGAAATTAGCCCACTAACATTTTTAAAGTTGAAAGATCAAGAGTATCAAATGCTTTTTTGAACAACTTTCTAACCATGTATGGCCAGCATAATTCAGAAATTGTGGGATGAGATAAAAACCCAATCAAATGAGATGCTGCTGGCTTGGTTTTCTTCTTTTCAACTAATATACTGCAACAATGAACACATTTTTTTAAATTCTGCTTAGATTTAGTGAAATAAATTTGTTGACTTTTTATATTACACATAGTGGATGAATGTCAGTTATTTCATACCCAGTGACCACCCTTTAGAAGTGGTCCTGGGTTATCTGCCTACTCTCATGTGTCAGGTGAGGGAATATATATACAGTATATAATATATATATATTTGATATATAAATATACACACACTATATTGCTAAAAGTATTGGGACACTCCTCTAAATCATTGGATTTAGGTGTTCCAATCACCTCCATGGCCACGGGTGTATAAAATCGAGTGTCTAGGCATGCAGACTGCTTCTACAAACATTTGTGAAAGAATGGGTCGCTCTCAGTGTCTGCGGACTAGTGCCGGTGCTATTCATGTGACAATATATCACCTGGTCAAACAGTGACTTTATATCAAGTTAACATTGGATTGGGATAACTAGTTATACTTCATATGTACTATATGTCAACCATCATCCCTTCAGCATTTTTGATCCCCTCTAGTTCCAATTTTTGGATTACTGTCGGTGATCGTGGGACCACTCCTGTGATATCTATCTCGCAGGGGGAAATCTCTCCCAATTTAGTATTTCCACATGATGAAGATTACTAATTTGTTATATGGGCCCTGGGGCATGTATATATATCCTGCAGTACCGATTGAACTGAATTATTGATAGCCACAAGCATGATTTTATGCCCTGCATGTTCTTCAGGTTACAGTTAGTCTGGCTGAAAAAAAACAAAAGTCCATCCAGTTCAACCATTAAAAAAAAAAAAAAGTTATAATCCTATACCCACAGTTGATCCAGAGGAAGGTAAAAAAACCCAGCAAAGCATGATCCAATTTGCTCCTGCAGGGAAAAAAATTCCTTCCTGATCCCCCGAGAGGAATCGGATATTCCCTGGATCAACTTTACCTAATGTTAGTATCCAGTTATATTCTGTGCATCTAAGAAAGAATCCAGGCCTTTTTTAAAGCAATCCACTGAGCTGGCCAGAACCAACTCTTGAGGGAGTCTATTACACATTTTCACAGCTCTCACTGTGAAGAAACCTTTCCGTGTTTTGAGATTAAATTTCTTTTCCTCCAGACGTAAAGAGTGCCCCCTTGTCCTCTGTGATGACCTCAGGGTGAATAGCTCTACACTGAGTTCACTATATGAACCACTGATGTATTTATACATGGAGATCATATCCCCCCTTAATCTCCTCTTCTCAAGAGAGAATAAATTCAGTTCCTCTGATCGTTCCTCATAGCTGAGCTCCTCCATGCCTCTTATAAGTTTGGTTGCCCTTGTCTGTACTTTCTCCAGTTCCCCAATGTTCTTTTTGTGAATTGGTGCCCAAAACTGAACTGCATTTTCCAGATGAGGTCTTACTAATGATTTTGTACCAGGTTAATATGATATCTCTTTCTCTGGAGTCTATACCTCTTAATACAAGAGAGGATTTTGCTCCCTTTAGAAACCACAGCTTGGCTTTGCATGCCATTAGTAAGCTTTTGATCTACCAGAACCTCCAGATCCTTCTCCACCATTGATTCCCCCATTTGTACCCCCCTAGTATGTATGATGCATGCATATTCTTAGCCTCCAAGTGCAGAATCTTACATTTATCAACATTAAACCTCATTTGCCACATAGTTGCCAAAATAAACAGTGCAATGAGGTTGGCTTGTAAATTGAAGACATCCAGTAAGGACGTTATTCCACTGCACAGCTTGGTGTCATTTGCAAAGACTGAAATGGGATTTTTAATCCCAGACCCTATATCGTTTGTAAATATATTAAAAAGTAAGGGTCCCAACACTGAACCTTGGGGTACAGCATTGACAACCCTAGACCATGCAGAGTATGAATCATTAACCACTACTCTCTGAATACCATCTTTTAGCCAGTTTTCTATCTATTTACATACGGATTTTTCCAAGCCCACAGATTTTACCTTACACATTAGCCATGTGTGGGGAACTGTGTCAAACGCTTTTGCAAAATCCAAGTATACCACGTCCACCGCCCCCCCCCCCTCTGTCCAAGTATACCACGTCCACCGCCACCCCCTCTGTCCAAGGTTTTGCTCACCCCCTCATAAAAAGAAATCAGATTTGTTAGACAACTTCTGTCTTTCATGAATCCATGCTGTCTGTTGTATAAAATATTATTTTCCAGCAAGAACTCATCTATGTGGTTTTTTATTAAACTCTCCAGTATCTTCCCAACTATAGAAGTTAAACTAACAGGTCTATAGTTACTTGGTAAAGATTTTAACCCCTTTTTAAAAATTGGCACCACATTGGCCTTATGCCAATCCAGTGGTACTATGCCAGTCATTAAAGAGTCCCTAAAAATTAGAAACAATGTCTTTGAAATGACAGAGCTCTAAGGGCCCGTGTGGGTGTATGCCATCTGGTCCACGTGCTTTATTCACCTTTATACTGTCTAAATATTTTTGGATCATATAATTTGTGTGCCAATGTGCATCATCTGGAGCTGTGTCAATACCATGCTTATTATGGACAAGAGCTCCCCCATGCTCCTTTGTATATACAGAGCTGAAGAAGGTATTTAATAAATTTGCCTTGTCTTTGTCCCCAGTCACCCACTCTAGATTATTTTGTAAAGGGCCAACATGCTCAGACCAAACCTTTTTACTATTAATATATTTGAAGAATTTTTTGGGGTTGGGCCTGTTATCTTTGGCAATCTGTTGTTCATTTTCAATTTTAGCAGCATTTATTTCCTTTTTGCATATTCTGTTATATTCTTTGTAATGTTTTGCAATGAATAGTGCAAAACAGTATAGTGAATTGACAATTTCAGGATCACATGTGATATTTAAGCAAAATGTGTCTGGATACCTAAATACAACATGTAATCTGCTTCTGTGAATGGAGCCCATAGAGAGAAAACACAACATAAACACCATAAAGTGAACACATTGAAGATGTCCATATTTTTACCATCATTGAACAGATTAGGTCACCTCAAATTAGGATAAATGCAGCAGAAATTAATACAGATTGGTCATATTTGTCCATTGTCATAGATCAAAATGGAGATTCATACAATTATTTTCTGGGGAATCTATGTAACAATTTTCTGGTATCCTTCTCTCTTTTAGTTTGGAAGATAATGACCTGACAGACATTTCCTGCCCCCACCTGGCATCTGGAATAAGCAATAACCAGACATTGAGAACCCTGGTCTTGACTGCGAACAATCTGGAGGGTCCTCATTTCAGTGATCTGATGACAGCTCTGACAACAAGCCAGATAGAGGAATTACAGTGAGTATCACAGGACTGACTGAGACAATTTACTGGGAGAATTTACATCCAGAACACATAAACCAGCTCCAGCCTTATGAAAACATAGGAATATTATTTATTTTAATATGCACACCTCTTATATTCACTGCCTAGAACCTCCATTTTTGTAATTATAAACATCTCTTATCAAAGTCTAAGTCACCAAGACATCATTTAAGGTTCTATTTATAAGGAAATTTGCATAGTCATTCATCCAACAAATCTGCATGTACATTCATTCTGTGAAACTTGGATAAAACCAAATGTTCTTTAGGCTATTTTTTCTTCTGAATGTTGTTTTATTATACGCAGTAGTAAAATATTGTGGCCTTTAGATGGAGCTGAGAGAAAATACACACCTTTGTGTAACAATAGATAAAATGTAACAATTCTAGAGAAAGCTAGAGAGAATTGGAAAATACATGTAAAAGATGTTTACATTTTACAAAGCTTACCCTGTGCCTTACAATATTCACCAAAAATTGGACACTGATTGAAGAAAAAAGGTACATTGAAGTGATTGGGGCAAATCTATCATGCTCATTATAAAACAGGATGTATCTGTAACAAATGTTAAACTTTCTGTAAATACAGTACAGAAAACTGGTAAGCGACCTTATTAAATTAATTCTAAAGGAAAGATTAAAAAAACGCATGTTATACTTACAAAAAAACAAGAATTCTAAAATTCAGAGGGAGCTCAAATGCACCTACATCCCAATTGGCAACATAATGCAAGAGAAGGAAGAAGGGGATACAAAGAGAGAGAGAGAGGAGGAGAATGAGCTCCTCACTGGAAAAAGAAAGTAAACAGGACTTTAAAGGTGCCAAAACTAATGAGAAAATTGTAACTAAAAATATAACATTTATTTAAATCATTTAAAGTTAACAAATATAAAAAAATATACATTAGAGTATCCAAACTTGGTGATACTTATTCAGTAATCTATATCCGGTGCATTATTTCTCAACATGTTTCGCCTATTTTAAGGCTTCTTCAGGAGATATTAAATATAGCACCTACAACAACAAATCATGCTGGTTACAAAATATAACAATGACCATCTTAACAAATCAGATAACCAAAATATGTAAATTAATACCAAACACAAATTATTATATATATCTTAGACATATCTCAAAAATCTATCTCCCTTTGTATCCCCTCCTCCCTTCTCTTGCATCATATTATACTTACCTGCTCTGTGCAATGGTTTTGCACAGAGCAGCCCCAATCCTCTTGTTTTTTTATCCTCTGCTGGCAGTCCTGGCTCCTCCCCTCTGCTGAGTGCTTGCAAGAGCCTTGCTATAGGGGCACTCGAGCAGGCTCGCTTCCACGTCCCGCTCTGTGTGTCCATTCATACAAGGAGTGTAACTCGGCCCTGCACCCTCTTCTTTCTTCATTGGCTTACTAGCTATGATTGACAGCAGCAGAAGCCAATGGCAACTGCTTCTGTGTGAGCCAATATGGTGAGAGTGACCCTGGAGAGCTGCTACTCTCATGCACATCGCTGGATCAAGATTGTATAAGAGGGGGGCGGGGGGCTGCCTTGAGCCTTTAGAAACACTTTAAAAGATCTTTACCTCTCTTGCTGGATGGCAACAATTTAGCAAAATAGATCTCTAACAAGTCTACCTATAACAGAACACAGAGCAAAATTCCAAATGCTATCTTATACTAAATATGCCAAAAGGACTGTGCTAGTGCAACAGATTAGTAATAGTAGGCAGGTGGAGATGGCAGTATTTCCTTCAACCTCTAGTTGGCATTGTGTCATTAAATCAGGCTGGCATGAACCAATTAAGGAATAATTGACCCCTGTTATGGACTCCAAGCATCTATCTTGGGTAGGACAGCATATCTTATTAGATACCTAAATCCTACAGAATTTGGTTGGCCATATTGACACAGAAGTCTTTTCAAAGGGGGATTTGGCATAATTCAGTGTGCCCACAGTGTACTCGTAAGATAGGAACAGAGCCCCGCTGGATAGGAAGGGAGTAGGAATAGTTTTAGGGAGAGGTGCTTGTCAAAGAGAGAAAGAGTAGGCGTTCCCTTTCAGGGTGTCTGCTCTATCAGGCTTCTGAAGCAGTGTCCCACTGGCAGACAAGTATCTGCAATATTATAGCCCCCTCCAAGGGAAGTACTCCTTTGGCACTCTGTGGTATGTACATTTTTTTGTCAAAAGTATTGGGACACCCCTCCAAATCATTGGATTCAGGTGTTCCAAGCTATGCTGGACCTGTGTGTCCAATGATGTGAAGGTGAGATATCTAGATGATGGGCGTCTGTCCAGATGAAATGATCTCTAGATTATATATGTGTGCTGTTGATGAGGTTTTCAGATGATCTCTCCCTTCCTATCTACCAGACTTGCCATTCACTATATTACCAAAAGTATTGGGACACCCCTCCAAATCATTGGATTCAATTGTCCCAATCACCTCCATGGCCGCAGGTGTATAAATTCAAGCACTTAGGCATGCAGACTGCTTCTCCAAACATTTGTGAAAGAATGGGTTGCTCTCAGGAGCTCAGTGAATTCAAGCGTGGTACCGTGATAAGTTGCCACCTGTGCAATAAGTCCAATCCGTGAAATTTCCTTGCTACTAAATATCCCATGGTCAACTATTAGTGGGATTATAACAAAGTAGAAGCAATTAGGAACTACAGCAACTCAGCCATGTAAAATGACAGAGGGGGGTCAGCACATGCTGAAGCACACAGTGCGCAAAAGTCGCCAACTGTCTGCAAAGTCAATAGCTAAAGGCCTACAAACTTCATGTGGACTCTAAAGCAGTGGAGATATGTTCTCTGGAGTGATGAATCACGCTTCTCTGTCTGGCAATCCAATGGACATGTCTGGGTTTGGCAGTTGCCAGGAGAACGGTACTTGCCTGACTGCATTGTTCCAAGTGTAAATTTTGGTGGAGGGGGGATTATGGTGTGGGGTTGTTTTTCAGGGGTTGGGCTTGGCCCCTTAGTTTCAGTGAAGGGAACTGTTAAGGTGTCAGCATACCAAGACATTTTGGACAATTTCATGCTCCCAACTTTGTGGGAACAGTTTGGGGATGGCTCCTTCCTGTTCCAACATGACTGAGCACCCATGTCAAAGTAAGGTCCATAAAGACATGGATGAGTTAGTTTGGGGCAGAGGAACTTGACTGGCCTGCACAGAGTCCTGACCTCAACCCCATAGAACACCTTTGGGATGAATTAGGGCGGAGACTGTGAGCCAGGCCTTCTCATCAAACATCAGTGCCTGACCTCACAAACGCGCTTCTGGAAGAATGGTCAAACATTCCCATAGACACCCTCCTAAACCTTGTGGACAGCCTTCCCAGAAAAGTTGAAGCTGTTATAGCAGCGAAGGGTGGGCCAACTTAATATTGAACCCTACGGACTGTACAGACTGGGATGCCTTTAAAGTTGATGTGCTTGTAAAGGCAGGCGTCCCAATACTTTTGGCAATATAGTGTAAGCTCTTAGTATGTTAGTATTGGAAAATGCCTTGTGGATAAACAGTGACCTCCTCTGTCTGAAGAAGTGAGTGACATGCAAACTTGTGTGCTAACTTATAGTAATTCTTGGGTACACTGGATAGGCCCTGCCTACACCTGTTGTAATAGACAGGATGACAGATCCATCTTCCTAAGCGGCAGAAATGATGAGAGGAATAGTAATGATACTTTATGGACCCACATTGATATTAATCCCAAAATTTACTGGCACCTCTATTCCTGATACAGACTGGGCAGAATATCTGGAAAGCTCTGCACATATGTTCTAAATCCCTACAGCATACCTTCCTGATTTAGCTGTCAATTTACTGGAATGGGATGCTCCTCCAGCAGTATTAGCCTTGCCTGAGAAGGATTTGAAGATGTAAATTGCCTCCTTCGGTTTTGGGTGAGGGTTGCCACCATCCCTGCAACAGTCATAATTTACAAAATGCCTCTAATGGGATGTTGAAAGCAACCAATCAGTTGCAAACCGATCCACAAAAATGTTAAGAAGCCATACATTTTATTGCAGATTTTAAAATCCATCATTTAACAGAAAGTTTGTGCCAAATTGACATCTCGCTATGTACAGTATTTAAAAATATAGAACCACCATTCTACATGATGTGGTGCACCCAGGGGCGTATTTACCACAAGGCAAACAAGGCACTTGCCTAGGGCAGCATTATTCAGGGGGGCAGCACCTCCCCCCAAAAAAAGGGACAAATGTGCCATGGGAATCAGGTGGGATCCGAGAGAGGCTGCGGGCTGCTTGATGGTGTATGTACAGCCTGACTCTCATTCCCAGAGATGTCCGAAGCTGTGAAGATGGGTGTATTTCTATCTACCACCGGAGGGGGGTAGTAGTAGGCTCTCCCAGATGGGTGGCAGGGGTATTGTTGGTCATTGTCAGGCTCTATGAGGGGGGGGGGGGTTGGTTAGTGTACGTGTTGTCAGACGATTTTTGTTTTGCCTAGGGCAGCACGACACCTAAATACACCACTGGGGGGAGGCTTTTATTGCTGAGGAGCTTATCATGTTGGGGGGTTAATTTTTGCTGAAAGGTCTCTACTGTTGAGGGAGGGATCTGTTGTTGCTAGCTGCTGGAGAGTCTATTGATGCTGTCTGCTGGGAAATCTGTTGTTGCTGCCAGGGGGCTATTGTTGCTGTAGTCCATTATTGTTGGGGAGAACTGTTGTTGCTGGGGAGGGTCTTTTACTGCTGGCTGTGGGTGATTTAATTGACTACTTTTCTTGTTATTAACAAATTCCATACAAATTACTAAGCACCGCAAAATGATACTTGGCTCTATGTTATCAAAAAGGGATGGAACTGGGAGGTGGATAGAGGGTGGAGACAAGAAGTGATTCGCTAGCACTAGCTCTCCCTAAAATCCTAACGATACCTCTTCCTGTTACTCTAACCCTCACACTCTCCTGCCTGTAATCTTGACATTAAGCTTTCCAGTAACCTTAGCCCTAATACTAACTCTCCCTGTGACCCTATCTAATATAAAGATAACTCCTTATTTGCATACATACCTTTTCTGCGCCAGGATCTTCTGCCCCAACCCTTCTCGACCCAAAAAAAGACCATCCTCATAATCCATTGTTTTGAACCAACAGCACTTGTCTTGCACCACCACATTTAAGTGTCCTTTACAATGTTTAAAGCTCATCCATAGGCAAAATTGGCAGCCCACCCATGTCTCCCACCCAATGAAAAGCCAAATTTAAGTTACCTAAATTCACTTTCATGTGACCCTTCATGTCATCTCTTCTGGGAATGAACAGCTTTAACACATTTGCTGCAGTTTGATCCTTCTGGATTTTGTGGACTCCCTTCTTTGTGGCATTACCACCCATTACTGGAGTTTTCAGGTCTTTTTACCACCCCTTCAGTATCCACTTGAAGACCAAGACTTTTCTGAGACTTTTTGTTTACATGTAGAAATCAGTATTTTTTTTCTAGAAAATTACTTAGGACCCACAAACATATATTTTTAAAGCAGAGGCCCTAGAGAAGAAAATGGTGGGTATTGCAATTTTTTTATGTCATATGGTATTTGTATAGAGGTTTTTCAAAAGCAATTTTTTTTTTTGAAAAACAGTAAAATTTTTTACTTTTAATGTACAAAACCAGAATTGTTTGCTAAAGTAGAAAAGATGGTTTTACGCCAAGTAAATAGATACCAAACATGTCAAAATTGTGTGCGCCTGTGAAAGGCGTAAATTTTAATATCTATAGGCGACGCTTTAATAGCCTTTACAGGTTACCACTTTAGATTTCCACAGGAGGTCTTGTTCTAGAATTACTGCTCTTGATCTAATACCACACATGTGTGGTATGATTACTGTTTACGTATGCGTGCGGGACCAATGCATGTGTTTGCCTTTGTGAGTGAGCATGGGGGGATGAAGGCGCTTTACATTTTTGTTAATCACTTTTATTGTTATCACTGGGGATATTTATATTATGATGTGATAGCAATAGGCAGTGACAGGTCCTCTGTACTGAGACATCTGGGGTCAATTAGACCCCAGATCTCTCCTTTGCCCTTCAAAGCTTCGGCTCATACCAAGACCTATATGATCCAATGCTTTTTTCAAACCACTAAGGGTTTGTTTACATGTGGCGAAACCGGAATTGATTAAATGCTCACCGCTTTGTTTTTTAAAACCATAGAGATGATCGGAGTCCTTTATGGTCAGCCAGTGAATCTTCCAGCTTAACACTCGGGTCTCCCGGTGGGACAGGTGAGCCCAAGTGAGTCACTGAAGGAGGTGGGAGCGTGGCACCCCCTCCCGCTGCTTGTAAAAACAATCCAGTGGCTAATTAGGATTGTTTTTACAAGAAAGCCAATCACTGGCTGAAAAAAACAATACAGGGATGATGCCTGTAGCTGAAAATATGATCCCGGGATAACCACTCAAAGCCTAGCGAAATACTAGCAGATCGCTGGTCCCTACGTGGATATAGAGCCAATGAGAAGAGTCACCAGGCTGCAATGTGGGCATCCAAAGAAAATCCCTCCTGTTCTACCGTTCAGAAAAGAGAGACTCGAGACCCAACACAACATGTGACCATGGATTTAGTAAAGAGGGAATTTAGATTATTAAGTCTGCTGCAGTAATTTGCAGGGGGTTGAAAGATATTTTTTGGAGGGGATCTCTGGATAAACTATCTTAAACCTATATTTCTTTTTTAACTTGCTACGCCTTAATCCACTCCCTCCAGCTTGCAGAAATGACAGCATATCAAGGTGACCCACTGCCAATAAGTTGAAAACAAGGAATGATCAAAACATTTGGTGGTAGGTTGCCTTGATCCATTTGATGTGTATAAAAGTGGTTGAATTTGTTTTAAAATTGCCATGTATGGGGCCAGCATTAAGGTGCCCAGATCGAGGTGACCTGACCTACTCATAGACTATAATGCTACAAAATGTATAACATTTTATGAATTTGTCTTGTTAGGAATCGCACAAAGAGAAAAATAATCTTTTAATAATACTTAATAATTACTTAATACTTTTCTTAGAGTTAGATTTATAATTAAGTGTTTTCATTTTCTATTCATGAAATAGACGAATAACTTCTTTTGTGATATAAATAATTTAAACAATTAATGTTGCTCTCTTCAGTTTGAATGGTAACAACCTGACAGACAGTTCCTGCCCCCACCTGGCATCTGGAATAAGAAATAACCAGACACTGAGGATACTGAACCTTTCGGATAACAATCTGGAGAGTCCTCAGTTCAGTGATCTGATGGCAGCTCTGTCAACAAGTCGGATAGAAGAATTGGAGTGAGTATAACAATGAAATAATATTCTGGAAAACCTCTATCCAAAATATACAAGTAATACAATAAATGTATTCCACGTTATCTAAATGTTGGAAGTTTATCACACATGTATTTTCTTTCACGAAAGCAGCTTTGCAAGCTGGGTGCTATGGGGGCACCCTTGCGCATGCGCTCCTGAGCCAGACTGTGTGTGTCCATAGAAGCACACAGTGCCAGTAAGCCAAGCCCATGCTCCCTCCTCACAGGAATTTGACTGACAACCAGTGGTTCTGTGAGACTAATAAGTGGAGGAGCGGGGTTGTAGCCGAGGCAGAGCTGGAGTGGTGACAGGAGCCATGTAAATGCTTAGGTATGGAGGTGGATAGGGTAGATATTGGGGAGTTTTTTTGCCTTAATTCAGAGAATGCATTTGTAAAGCTTTTTTTTTTTTGCATTATTATTATTATTATTATACAGTATTCATAAAGCGCCAATAGTTCGCTCAGCGCTGTACATTACAAAGGGGGACAGAACATGTGACAGAACAATACCAATACAATGCAAAACATGAGGGGATCAATGGCCCTGCTCTTTCGAGCTTACAATCTAGGAGGGAATAATAATGTTTATTAAAATAATAAACATTGCTCTGTGCAATGATCAATTACCACCTCTTCTGGAGTCCACCACTTTCAGCTCCTACTCTTTTTCAAGTGCCCCCTCAGCAACCTGCCCATTGAGAGGGCACTTGTATGGATGGCTGTGTGCATCCATAGACAAACACACAGGATGGCTCAGCCACACCTCCCCCCCGCTTCCTCCTTGGAGGAATAATTAACTGACAGCATCAGGAGCCTGTGGCTCCCACTGCTCTCAGAGCCTCCTATAAATGCGCATGGGACAGAACTGGATTGGACAGAAATATAGACTTCTATGGCCAGAGGGTTGCTCAACATTTTGGCCTTGTACAGTTCAAACAAAATCCTTTTCCTCTGGTACCTCACCCCTTTCCAATTTTCTACATATACAGTATACCCCAGTGTTCACCATTACGTTTCTGTACCTATAGACAGGTTGGCCTGATGGTAAATATATGACGGACAAGCTCCAAGGCTTGTAGGTTATGGATATGAGTTTATACAAATCTATACCACTCTGGGTTGTGACCTATACAAGGATCCAGTAGAAACTTTACTGAACAACCCCACTGAATATCGCAGGTGTAGCATCAAAATTAAACAACTTTATATTTACCACCACCAAACAAACTATAACTCATTCTTTTCATCCCACTAACACTTGTGGTGGGGAACTGTTCCTCACACTGGCATTAATTATGGGCTCTATTCCACCCACTTGAAGCATTGATGGGTCCCTATTCCTTCCACTGCCACCAATGTTGTGGCACTATTCCTCCCACTGACACCAACAATGGGGCACTATTCTTCTCACTGACACCAATAATGGGGTACTTTTCTTCTCACTGACACCAACAATGGGGCACTATTCTCACTGTCACTAATAGGTTCTGTTCCAATGACAACTGTAAGAATTTAGTTTTTTTCCCTCACTTTCTGTGTTTATGGCAAAAGTCACATGGACAAATGGTGAAAATGAATCTCCCCAGTTGGGTCATAACATCTAATTGGACTCTACTACAAGTATAGCCAAAACTGAAAAAAAAAAAAAAACGTTTTAGACATAAATACATATTACCGTTTTTCTCTTCTTCTACAGTTTGCATAATAATAACCTGACAGACAGTTCCTGCCTCCATCTGGCATCTGGAATAAGACATAACAAGACATTGTGGAAGCTTGACTTGTCTCGAAACAGTCTGGAGGGTCCCCATTTCAGTGATCTAATGGCAGCTGTGACAACAAGTCAGATAAAGGAGTTATGGTGAGTATAACATGACTGACTGACAAAGCTTGTTATCTGCACACCTTCTGTTTGTTGCATATTGTGGGATCAAAAAATGTATAAAGTATTCACACTGGATCTGACGTTGAAATCGTGTAACTTCACTTGAAGTTGCACAATTTCAAAGTTGGATGGCAGTGTGACTTCAGGTGTGACTTGATAGCCATCTGTGTGACTTCATGCATAGATGTCTATGCAAGTCAAAACCAAAATTGGCAAAAGTAATACAGGAACTTAACATAAAAAGTAGTGCAGCGCTGAGGGTAGTGTTTATAAAACAAATATGAGTCCACTGCAAGTCCAGTTCATGAAAACGTGTCAAGTGACAAGTGGGAATTCAATGTTGGTGATCCGTGAGGAAGTGGCTGAAAAACGCACTCACCAGAAAGAAGACATATAAACGCAGTATATATCCAAAGCTCATGGATCCTCAATCCGGAAGGAAATAAAGCTGGTCCGGTCACAGAAAAGTGGGTTCCACCTTTATGAATGCAGCAACAGATTCTCCTCCTCCCAGTTAGGGGTAGGATTCCAAAGTCACGGTTCTGTAAGCAAAGTGCTCCTCTGAACTGCTCCAGATTCCGCAGAGCTGTCTCAGAATTTCAACAAATTCCAACGCACAATTCCCAGCACACGTTCCTCCTATGGTGTCCTCATGACAGGAAGTGATGAACTACTTTTCAAATCAGTGTGACTCCCGAACGGTTCCATTGCCAATCATTGGATGCGATTTGTCATGCAATTTGATTGGTTATATCGCATATCAAGTCGCATCAGTGTGAACCAGGGCTAAAAGTTGGATTGCAAGCAGATGGAAAATACACACCTTTCTAATCATGAAAACATCCTTAAGTTTATTTTTTTAAATGCTAAGCAGAGTAAGTGCCTGAATTTACCTTAGTATCGGCCATTTTCAGTTCCTGAATAACAAAATTCAAAGAGGGACAGGGAGAAGCATCATGTTCAATCTGTTGGGATGCATTGCAAAGAGCTAATTGGAAGAGATAGAAGACTGACCAAGAGAGTTCATCAGTCTTTTGATATTTCCTTCACTGTCTATGAGGACCAGACTCTGGGCTGGGACAAGTGGGGGCAGTATGCGTACCTGCCCTGGGCACAGTGTTTAGGGAGCATCAGCTCTTCCTTTATCTCTGTGACACGACCAAAGCTTTTGTCTTCTGTCTCGGCCACCCAGCCCAGCCACTGCCTTTAAGGATTAAATACTCTTAGATCTGCTCCCGGAATTTTATGCATCCTCTGTTGGCCTCTGTCCTTGACCATCGGCCCGCCCATCACCTGTAAGGATTTAGTATTAATAGATCTGCCTGGGTCTAGTCCCTGCCCGCTGGCCCACCCATCCACCCACTATCTAAAGCACTATCCTAGAGTTTGTTCTACAGGTCTGATAGGAGGTAGCCAGACAGAAGCCAAGAAAAATACCAGCACTAGACTCCAGGACTAGATGTAAGAATACTGAATTTCTACAGGTGGTGGGTGGGCCGACCAACGGAAACACAAGCCGACAGAAGATGCTGGGTCTATAGCCAAGCAAATGTAAATACTAAGCAGTACAGGTACAGTGTGATTATGTTCTGCTGTTTTCCCCCAAAGGATATGATCACTGGGGGTTTGATTGTTCCCATGTGCTCAGAGATGTTTTCTTAATAGTTATTATTATACAGGATTTACATAGCACCAACAGTTTGCTCAGCGCTGTACATTATAATGGGAGACAGTACATGAGACAGTACAGTAACAATACAATTCAATACATGAGGGGTTCGAGGGCCTTGCTCCTTGGAGCTTACAATCTAGGAGGGAGGGGATAGTGGTACAGGAGGAAATAGCTGTGGGGGATGGAGTGGTAGGAAGAATGGAGGAGTTCAGCAATAGTTCCTAAAATGACTTTGTGCTACTAGATGAATATGATTGGAGGCACTGTGCTTTATGCGTTTTAGCCAACTATTAGGACTCATTTATATATTTATCATTTGCTTGTGGTTGGGGAAGGGAGGGGCAGTAAAAACATCTGGCTGAGCCTCATTATTACTACCCCCTATTGTTCCCCTTTAAAGGAGAAGTATAACCTAAGCTCTTTTGCCTATACTTCACCTGGGGATCACAGGGTTGCAGATTGTTTCGCACTCCTGTAACCCTTCAGCCGACAGCAGGCTAAAACCGATCCTGTCCCCTCCCCAGCCCACTGCACACTGGAGGATCAGAGAAGAGAGCCAGTGATTGACAGTCACCACTCTGCAGACTGAGAACACAGTGATCGGCGGTCTTTGATTACTCAGCTCTAAGTGTTAGAGCCCTCGGGGGACTGATGCAACCTCAGACCAATGCTGCATCCACCTAGGTAAGTATTATTTATTTATCACAGGTACTTACAGTATATAGAGCTGTCATAATATATAGAACCATCCAGAACAGTCTGGTGGTGCAGCCTAGAATACCCATAAAGCTTTTCACTAGAGTGTGTGATACTGAGTTGCAGGACACTACCACCTTGTGTCTCTTTTAACATCCTACAGCCTGAATCATAGCAGGGTGTTACATGTGCTTCAGGGAGACACACGTGTAGCCATGCATATAACAAAAGAAAGAAATCATAGATAAGGGAAAAAACTAAGCACTCAATGTTTTCTTACTTATTTCTAATTGCATTCATATTTTACAAGTTAATGAATATATTATTATTTTTTCGAGTACACATGCTTATTTGTTTTTTTGCTCTATTGGATATACCTGGGTATTTTTGAATTTTACAAGTTAAATAGTAGCCATTGCACATGTACAAAACAATGTTTCTCAGAGTACAATAGGCATGTACAATATGTCTTACCCATAACTGCTATCCAGGACTATTGCTGCTATCACTTCCTATCCCAGTTGCAATGGTTTCATCAGGCAGGAAGTGAGGAAACATCTGCAACATGTTAACGGAGTGCCAGATAGTAGTAAAAAAAAAAAGAAGTTCTGATCCTTACGAGATGGCACGTGGGCAGAGTTTGTGAGCCAGAGGATGTGAGACAAACTAGCTGCTAACAAGGCCTGTGCTTGTAATCACACTGCAAAATAATTAAACACTTAATCTAGTCCAGTTCACTTTTTTCACATTGTTGACAATCAATCCCTGATGAAGGGGGGCTCATGGCTACTTTTTGGATTGTCCTCCTGACTTTTATCTGAATAAAGTTGTATCTGGAATTATTAGCAGTAATGTGGTACATGGGACTCTGGATTCTACATGCTGGGTGCTGGACACTTTACTAAAGACTGTGGACTCAGAACTCTGAACATGGGACTCTAGACACAGGATTCTAGATGCTGGACCTAGGACTCTGGACACAGGATTCTAGATGATGGGTGCTGGACACTGGACTAAAGACTCTGGACACAGGACCTGGAAAGAGGATTCTGGTAATAGACATAGGTCTCTGGACATAGGATTGTAGATGCTGGGTACTAGACTCAAGACTTTAGTCCATTGTTCAGGGTTTCAAAGACTCTGGAGACACAGGACTCAGACACAGGATTCTAGATGCTGGGCACTGGACACTGGATATTAGATGAAAGTTGATGGTCACAGCACAGAGGACTCTGGATGCAGGACACAGTCAGTTATCCCAGTCAATCAGCACAATAAAAAAGAAGTGTACAAACCTGGGAAGAAGAGTTCGCTGCTGCTTCCTCTTTATGCATGTTACAGAAGGCATCATGTGCTCAGAGGACATGTCACATCTGCCCCACAGCCTTTCTCCACCATTTTTCACATACCAAAAAATTCTGCTGTGTATCCCTGATTGAGAATTTCTGCTTTAAACGATAAACTTGAATTATGACTTGTTCAATCTACCTAACTATAGTGAAACGAAGCAGAGGAGCTCCCTGTGAGAACCCTTGGGGATTAGGTCTGCTTCCATTTGAGTGGTGTGACTTCTGGTACCTTTTCGAGCCACGGCCAATTGTCTGTCTGACCTCACAACTAAGTGGTCCAGTGATGAACAGACAATTGAATTGCCCTGAGTTCCAGAGTTTTGATAGAAAGCAGGGTTTCCTCTGTCAAAGTAACCTGCACTGAAGGCATCTAGGACTCCTCCCCAGACCAACTGCCTGGCATCTGTCATGAGAACCTTCCACATCCTTGGGGAAAGGTTTTCCCCATGCACATTTTACCACTACAACATGCATACATACAACAAGACATTTTAGACCTTTGTGAGTTTCCAACCTGGTAAGTTTCGGAATATCATTTTTTAGCTTGACATACATTTTATTACTACAACATTTTAGCTACAACATTTTAGACACTTGTGAACTTTCAACCTGGTAACAGTTTGGAAAGGTCTTTTTCTGGTCCAGCATGTTGGTGCTCATGTACAAAAAGCTCCATAAAGACACGAATTGACCAGTTCAGTTTGGATGAATTTGAGTGACCTGTTTAGATCCTTGACCTCAACCCTATTGAACTACTTTGGGATCAATTGAAACACGATTGCAAGCAGAGTCTTCTCAAACATCAATACCTGACAAATCATCAACCTGAAACTTTGCATCTACTGTACATTTAATCCCAAAGGACCAACCCCATTCTTGCTTATTCTATTAGTCTCTTTCTTAGCTATAGGTCATCCTGAGTACCACCTATGCCTATAAATACTTTGGAATTTTTATAGCTAGAGGTAGTTGGAACAAAGTTCAACACCCTTTGTAACTAAGACTTCAAACTGCAGACAAATGGACTCCCAATATATTCTTTTTCGGGTTGATCCATCCTCCTTGCCTTGTCCATTTGTCAAAAGTATTTCTGCTTTCTTCTCTTCCCTTTGTTCTTTAATGTCCCCAAAATGTCAATCTGAATAGAAAATTAATTTAGCACAACGTCTCTAGAAATGCAATTTTTTTAATCATCACTGCTTCTGCTGTCAATATGTTCAGGTCATGATCACACAAATAGGAAAGTTTTTTGCATTTACATGGATGTCCAAATATGTTGCAGAATAGAATTCCCAAACTTGAAATGTGTGAGTCTGGGGTGGTGGGATCTATCCATATTTTATGGTGTAGTACTATTTATAGCATTTTAGAGTTTTCTCTGACAAAGAAACAAAAATAAAATGCTTCCTACATATTAATAATTTGAACCAAACTTTAAATATTATTTTCAGTGAAAATAATTTTCATTCATATAATGCAGTGGTCTACAAACAGTGGCCCTTTGATTTCTTTTAAGCAG